CATAATGACAGAGATGATTTTTTCAAACATATAACATGAATAGAAGCAACTGCTTTACAAATAATTTATGACTAATGAATTTCTCCTGGTTGCAAATTGTCCATGAGCTGGATAGTGTTTTACTGGATTGACTGTGGCAATATCCAAAATTGCTGGCCAGACAGACACGTTATTGGAATAATGACCTTGCCGTTTTGCCTGTAAAAAGAGTAGTTGTCTGGACTGTTGTATTATAGATAACCCTTTTCTTCCTCAAATATTCAGAATTATCTTAGGGCCAGGATTTCCCACTTAAGACAAGACATAAAATTGTGGCTTTTTTATGTTTTAAGTTACCTTGGTGTTGCCTGATTGCATTAATGTATGCATGAAATCTGGTTTTCTGTTTGTCTTAATGCTGGTCTATGAACTTATAACAAACTAGGAACTAACAGCAGAAATCCAGTGTCCTGCTTCAGAGCCCACTTGACAATCACTTCCCCACACTCAGTGTGAGGTGTTTGCCAAGGCTGGTCTCAAAGGCCAGATCTGCCTTGAGAGCCCAGGCTCCCTCGATAGTAGGCAAAGAGAAATAAAATCCCTTCAGTTGGGCAGCTCAGAGAGAAACCCAGTTCAGGTGCCTTCCAGGAATGATTCATTGATTTTCAGAAGACAATGTGGGGATTTTGCATTGAATTACCTGGGCGAGGAGCCTGCCTCTCTCTCCTGATTATAACGGTGCTCTTCAGTACACAGCAAAGCCTTGTTCATGATGAGGTAAAAATGAATTTTATGGATTGCTCTGTGTTACAGCATCTAAGCCTGCACAGTTGCCTGCTTTTATCACTTGAAATAGATGTAAACCTTGTGGAAAGAGGAGGGTAACATTTTTTACATATTAGTATTTCTCAGAGGTGTGGAGAATAAATGTCTGACCTCTGTACTTGGGCACCTTTAAAATTAATGCTGATGTACCAACAACCACCACATCTTCATGTTAATCTTCTGAATCGTACATGAATTTGGAACCACATTTCTCTAGAGAAGGAAAAGTGTATTAGCTGTAACCACATGGAACTATTGACAGATTGTGACTATAAAGGAGAAAAAAATATTAAATAACAGTACAGAGATTTCTGCCTTCCTGATATGTACTTCTCTTACGCAGTTAAAAAGGCTGGGAGCCATCCTTGCCTGCACCAGAAGCCTGCTGTTACTTAGTGCTAGGCTGGTTATGTAACCAGCCTGCAAAGGGTTCAGGTGATGAGCTCTGTCATGAGTGCCATTGGAAATGGTAATTGAAATTGAAAGTAGTGTCTCCCAGGCTCCCTCCCTTTCAGTACTTCTCAGCTCCTGCTCAGAGACCCGAAATACCTGGCTTGTTCTTGCTCTAACCTGAAGCAATCAAAACAAGGAGGTAGGGGAGGTCTCTAGAATGAATTGGTTGTCAAGGTGGTTTTGGTATTGATTGAGTTCTGCTGTTTGTGAAATGGGCTCATTTCTGTGTGGCACTTGGTTTTACTGCACAGTGGAGAAGAAGCTTTTTGGATACTCCCTTCTCAACATGCACAACAGTATAGTGAATGCTCCTGTCCCCCACCCACCATAATAATGAGGGAAGAAATTAGGGTTTATACTAACCAAGTTTGAAAGTCTTCCCAAAAATTGGGTGATACAATGTGCAAGCCTACTCCCAAGGTTTGCAGCTGTGCTTGGCTTTATTAAGGTTTAAAATATCTTCTGCTTTGTTTGTCCCTGAACATTGAAAATATCATTTTGTTCTTGACAGTATCCAACAATCAGCATAAACTATAAAAAAAACCAACCCTGATGTGACCCTCATCCCCTCCTAGAAGGAATGGGGAATCAGCTACTCAGACTTGGAAAGAAGGTGAAAAAGCAGAACACACATTAGCCCTCCTCTGACAATGTTTATGGCTCCTAACCTCTCAAAAAGTAATTTTCTAAATTTGCTGCTGCTGCTGTTTTTACATCTTCCATCCGTTCTCTAGGACTGCCCAACCCAAGAGGTGAACCTGTAGCTTTTGGTGTGGAAGGTCCTTGACGCCTTCTGCTTTCATCCCTGCAGTGGTAGCCCTAAGTAGCACACGTGTGCACAAATATCTTCTCTTTAATCAGGCTCTGTCTTCACCTAGAGCCATGCCAAGAATCCTTTGCACCTGTCAGCTGCATGAGAGGTTTCTGAAATGGAAAGCAAGAAACCTTTCAGCAGCGTGGTGAAGCCAGGCGTGCCGGCGAGTTAATGGGAGATCTTGGGATAAGGCCTGGGCACTTCATTCCACATCTTTAGGAACTAACAGGAGAGCGACTAGGTATCAGTAGCTGTTAGAGAATGGGGAGCTAAGGCGTAGCCTGTCATCCTGCATCTGCTTTATGTGGTCAATAGACGGTGTTTTGGAGGAGGCAAAGTCAGATGCAGAGGCACCAGCTGTCTGTTGGAGTGTGTTGGCATTTAGCAAGGATCCCAGATCCTCATGTCAGACATCTGAGTGTCTGATTGGGAAGGGCTGTGTCTGCTCCAGGCTGCACTACTGGTGCGACAGTTGATTTTCCAAAGTTTTGCTTTCCATGGAGCTGCTTCCTCCAGCTAACTTACATGTAGCACAACTTGAATTTCAGTTTTTCTTTCTTCATTAATCAGTGCTTTCATAGTCACCCAAATTTTATATTCATTTTGCTAGGAGAAGGCAGGCAGGGACTTTGAACTTTCCTCCTCAGCCTGGTACTTGACAAGTTCCTGACACGTGTGCACATTTTCACAGTGGGGTGATGTGGGTTTATCCTTTGTGTGAGCCAAAAAGAGCTGTGGGTGAGCACTGGGAAAGCTTAGACCTGCTGGCGCATAAGGGATCTCAGGAGAAAACCAAGCTCACTCTCCTGAAATCCCTGGAGAAGCATCAGGGATTTGACACACCCAGAGAGGGGCATCTCAAGCATTCACTGGCATGTGTTCACAGTCACAGGTGTTCACAGGCATTTTGTCTGTTCGTGTGGGGAGATCATTTTAAACTGGTAGTAAAAAGGGGGAGCTAGTGATAACAAGGATCCACTGAAGAGTTTCTGCAGCAGAAGTAAGAGCTGTTAAAATGATGGCTGACATCTCCATCACTGCAAAGTCATCCATCACACTTTCCCCTCCCCTTGCTGACATGGCTAATTGAGCTTTCCGGTGCCTTTTGTTGTTGTTTTTGGTTTCTGTATGTGCTGGGTCTTTGTTGTAGCATTTCAGTGCTTGGTTGGAACATAGGTAGTGTACTCTAAGTTAGAAAACTAAAATCTCTGTGTCAGTGTATTGGCTTGCAGATACAATTAGGAGGAAAACTGACTGAAAACTTGAGTGGTAGATACATGTTTATGGACAAAATAAATGTGCTCTCAAGTGCACTTGAAAAAACCCACCCTAGATTTCTACAGAGAGGGGAAAGTGGTGTTTGTGGGTTGGCAAATGTTTCATCACTGTTGCTGAAGAGGTAAATTGTTCCAGCTTAAGAGTGAGCTGTTTTTGAAATGTCTCAGTCCTTACCATACTTTGCTGTCTCGTAATAACCACACAAATGTCTGGATCTCTTAGGAACCAGTAGCCTGGCATCCTGTAGTTGAACCACAGGGTAGGTGCAACAGGCTTTATAGCAGCCACAAAAGTAGAGAAGTGGCATGATGGAAATTAACTAAAAATTGCCTTCTCAGTACTCGTAAATGGCAGAATATTAGAAGAACGAGGTATGAAACAGCAAAATCACTTCTTTTTTTTTTTTTTTTAATTTCAAATATTGTTTGGAGATTGGATCTAAGCTTCCAGGCAAGCCTAAGGCAGAAGAGATAAAAATGTTGAGTTACAGCAGAAAAAATGCATTTTCCTAAATTCAAATTCTAGTTTGTGTCTGATTACCCATTATATTTGTACTCTTATTGTATCTATTTTTGTTCTTCTAGCCAGAGAAACTTTAAAAGTGTGATTAGGTCCCCATGATACATTGCATTTTATGAACAGAAGGGGTTCTTCACAAATTAAGAGAGAAGAATGGCAGGGAGGCAGAAGCGATGATGTGGTTTTAACAGTCCCAGTTAGAAAAGAGTGCAGATAGCTACAAATATTCAAGCAATTATTTTCAAACCATGTTGTTCCTCCTATATCCTCTGGCCTTTTCTCTAATAGCTGCCCCTGAACAGCCCCAGTAAGAGCATGCCAGAAGAAAAAGAAAAAAAAAAAAAAAAGGATATTCCCCAGGTTAAAAGAGATAAAGGAAAACACCCTAGAGGACATGCACAAATGCAGCATTGCCCAGGAGACCTATGCAATTCCCAGAGAGCCACATCTGAGCAACAGTTCAAGGAGGCTTGGAAAGGGGTTGAATCCCTCCACACCTTGCCATTAACATTGCAGTGCAAGGGAAATGTCTCTGGTATCTCAGGTATCCCACCAACAGCTTGAGGAGAGACTGGACCTTTTTTTTTTTTTTTTAATTTCAAATATTGTTTGGAGATTGGATCTAAGCTTCCAGGCAAGCCTAAGGCAGAAGAGATAAAAATGTTGAGTTACAGCAGAAAAAATGCATTTTCCTAAATTCAAATTCTAGTTTGTGTCTGATTACCCATTATATTTGTACTCTTATTGTATCTATTTTTGTTCTTCTAGCCAGAGAAACTTTAAAAGTGTGATTAGGTCCCCATGATAGATTGCATTTTATGAACAGAAGGGGTTCTTCACAAATTAAGAGAGAAGAATGGCAGGGAGGCAGAAGCGATGATGTGGTTTTAACAGTCCCAGTTAGAAAAGAGTGCAGATAGCTACAAATATTCAAGCAATTATTTTCAAACCATGTTCCTCCTCCTATATCCTCTGACCTTTTCTCTAATAGCTGCCCCTGAACAGCCCCAGTAAGAGCATGCCAGAAGAAAAAGAAAAAAAAAAAAAAAACAAGCAAAGAGAGTCTGACAATTATACATTAACTGGGTACTGTTAAGTATTGATTTTTCTCCTTGTTTTGCTTGTCTGATAGGGATGCAAGGGGAAGAGGAAACTTCTGGGGAGCCTATGAAAGTTGACCTTGCATGCGAAGCAGCAGATGTTTCAATTAACGATGGTAAGTTTTTCTAATATTTTAATTGTCCTGAAGTGGATCTGTAGCATGCTTTTCTGGGCTTTGTTTGTACACTTCTCCACCAAAAAAAGAGGAGTTATATTTATAATTTCTTCAACTGAGTCTTCCTGCGAGCTAACACAATCTCTACTGTGTCAGAAGTCTGATGGAAGAACCTTTCAGTGCCATAAACCTGCTTTCCTCATGGACTGGGATTATGCATTCAATTGGTATGTGTAATCCACCTGCCTTTTGACTAAGTATTGTAGGCACACTGTAATTTTGGTCTGGATATCAAACTGGCCAAGATGTATGTGTTCTTATGCAAGAGTCAGAAGGTGTTTGTGAAGATTTCTGTGCTAGAACCCAACACCATCACGGGGCAAACATTGGCTGTATATTCACTGAACTCTAATGTTTGCCTCCTTCTAGCTTGGAGCTGATTTCCCTTCCTCCTTCTTCAGAGTCCATACGTAGCTCAGCCTGGTAGCAGATGGAAGTTCTTTCACTAGGACATTTTCTATTGATAAAACTATCACAATTTGGTGACCTAGAAGCAGTTCCATGTTTATGAACATTATCAACCCTTAATCTCCTGACTTGGAAATTAATTTTTTTTTTACATTGACCCAAGTGATCAAGATAACCCAACTGTCTGGCAAAGTCCTAGCAAGGGCCGAGTACCGAGGCACTGCTCAACCTCTGCAGTGCATAACGTATTTGTAAACAAAAAAAACCCAACACACCTGTCCTTCTGGGCTCTTCCTGTGTGTAAAGACCAAGACCAAGGGGAAGTCATGTTTGACCAACCTTATAGCCTTCTATGAGGAAGTAACTAGGTGGATAGATTATGGTAGGGCAGAAGATGTGGTTTATCTTGATTTCAGTAAAGCATTTGACACTGTCTCCCACAGCATCCTTGTAGGTAAGCTGAGGAAGTGTGGTCTTGATGATCAGGTAGCGAGGTGAATCAAGAACTGGTTGAAAGGAAGGAGTCAGAGAGTTGTAGTCAATGGGGCAGAATCTGGTTGGAGGTGTGTGACTAGTGGAGTCCCTCAGGGGTCGGTACTGGGACTGGTGTTGTTCAACATCTTCATCAACGACCTGGATGAGGGTATAGAATGTACCCTCAGCAAGTCTGCTGATGACACTAAGCTGGGAGGAGTGGCTGACACACCAGAAGGCTGTGCTGCCATTCAGAGAGACTTAGACAGGCTGGAGAGTTGGGCGGGGAGAAACCTGATGAAGTTCAACAAGGGCAAGTGTAGAGTTTTGCATTTGGGGAAGAGAAACACCATGTACCAGTACAGGTTGGGGGCTGACCTGCTGGAGAGTAGTGTAGGTGAAAGGGACCTGGGGGTCCTGGTAGACAGGAGGATGACCATGAGCCAGCAATGTGCCCTTGTGGCCAAGAAGGCCAATGGCATCCTGGGATGCATTAGAAAGGGTGTGGTTAGTAGGTCAAGAGAGGTTCTCCTCCCCCTCTATTCTGCATTGGTGAGGCCGCATCTGGAGTATTGTGTCCAGTTCTGGGCCCCTCAGTTCAAAAAGGACAGGGAACTGCTTGAAAGAGTCCAGCGCAGAGCTACAAAGATGATGAAGGGAGTGAAACATCTCCCTGATGAGGAAAGGCTGAGGGAGCTGGGTCTCTTGAGCTTGGGGGAGACTGAGGGGCGACCTCATCAATGTTTACAAATACGTTAAGGGCAAGTGTCAGGAGGACAGAGCCAGGGTTTTTTTTCAGTGACATCCAGTGATAGGACAAAAGGCAATGGGTGCAAACTGGAGCATAGGAGTTTCCATGTAAACATGAGAAAAAACTTCTTTACTGTGAGAATGACAGAGCCCTGGAACAGGCTGCCCAGAGAGGTTGCGGAGTCTCCTTCTCTGGAGACATTCAAAACCCGCCTGGACAAGTTCCTGTGTGATGTGGTCTGAGTGATCCTGCTCTGGCAGGGGGGTTGGCCTAGATGATCTTTCAAGGTCCCTTCCAACCCCTAAGATTCTGTGATTCTGTAAAGAAATAATGGATGGGATCAGTGTCCTGGTGCGTAGGTTTTGGTGAGGCAGATCACTCCTGTGATTTAACCTCTTCAGCATTGACATAATACACATTCAAGGCATACTTTTTTTGTCTCAAAGACAAAACAATTGTATTATTTTTTATATTAGTTAAATAAAGGATCTAATTCTGATTTCCTTTTCTAATGTCAGATTCTGCTGCATTATTTGAATCATGTATGATTTACATACTTGGCCTGTAGAGAAGTTTTTGCAAGAAGAGGAAAAGAATAATGGATTTTGGTTTTTTAAAAGATTAGGCTGTTACTAGTAAGTGTGCAGAATAAAGCCAAACCTGCCTCCTCTCCTTATCTTCTGAACAAACAAACCAAAAAGTCATAGTCACATAAAATACTTGAACTTCAACTCCTTGGAATGATCCAGGCTCATCAGTGGAAAAAAGAAAAAAAAAAACCAAACAAATTTACTAAAAGAGCATCTTAAGGGATTTTCCAGGGGAAACAAAAGCAGCTCTATTGCTCTTGTAACGTATGCCATAGCACAGCACAGCTGGATCAGCTGACAGCTTCTGAAATGATGTTGTTGATAGGTTTCTTCGTTTCAAATCTTGCTTATCTTTTAAGGTCTCGTACAGATAACTCAGTGATGTTGTTGATAGGTTTCTTCATTTCAAATCTTATCTTTTAAGGTCTCGTACAGATAACTCATCTGGTAACTTCCTTTTCTGTTAACTTTCTTGGTTATATAAAAGGAAAGGAAAAGCATGTTTGCTAAGGCTACAGAGAACTACTCTGCTGTTCAGGGAAGTCTTCATTTCTCTTCAGCTTAAGTTGCTATTGAAATTACATTACAGGGTGTTTTTTCTTGTGGACATATATTATGGTTTTTTAAAAAAAAAAAAAAAAAACAAAACAGAGGAAGGATCAAACTCCCCATACTCTGTTCTATCTAAAGGGTTTAGTTTTGCTGAAGGAAAGCCCTAAATTTTTTAAAGGTACTCGGTTCTAGTTGAGATTTAAAAAAAAAAAAAAAGGTTCTATTTGACAGTCATTTTTATTTAAATTGCCTATTTTTTCTCTGGTCCCCTTTCTTCCACCCCAGGAGAGCTCATTGCTTCACAGCTGAAAGCACAAGCATATATCATCAGGTACCTTCTGGCAGCCTGGCTCTTGTGTTCTCATTTCATGTACGATGTCACAGCAAAAAGTCCTATAGAAATGCAGACAGTTTAGGCAGCTCAGATGGACCTCAATATTGGTTCATCTAGTGGGCAGGGCCGTAATAGTGATATATATTAGAAATTACTATTCCTTGAAAGCTGGGCATGATTCTCCATCAGGACAGCTGTGAGAGGGTGCATATGTAAGCCTGAATAGGGACATGTGCAGAGAGAAGGTTGCTACTGGCAATCCCCATCAGCCACCAGGGTGAAGACCCCTGGATGTTAAATTTCATGTATCCAAAAGAGATTTACTAGTGAGTATTTTTTAATGGTGACAAAGCTTACTTTTGGAGTTTGGTTACCTCAAAGGTGTTTCCCTGCCATCAGCCTTTTAAAATAATTATTCTTTTCTTTTTTTTCTTTTTTTTTTTCAACACTACCAAAGCTTTAAAGATTACTATGGTAGATGTTAGTTTCCAGCTGGTATTAGGCAGATCGAACTCTTACTCCTTTCATAATGGGGTTACTTATTCACTTTTTTTATTTCAAGCCTGTGGAAGGCTGACTTGCTGACAAAGTAGAAGAAAAGAAAAAGCTGAAGGCAGTGTCAAGCCTGAAATTTCCCTTTCTTTTTCTTTTTTTTTTTTTTTAATGTAAGCACTGTCAGCAACCTGACCTTCACATGATACACTAAAGCAATATAAAAGCTAGATCTCAACAGCTACCACCCTTGTGCTTTTTATGGCATTAATGTAACATGCAAGAAACAATTAACTACCAAGTAAGCAGGTGCACGTGTTTCATATCCTCACATTTAGGTTGAATTCCAGGTGGATGGTTTTCTTTCTGGGCAATCTGGAGTTACAGCTGAAGGTGCTAAAGCCAAGTTATGTGGATGCAAGGAGGAAGCATGGTTTAGGAATTGGGTGAAGAAATAGGTTATGTTTTCAAGTAAGAGTCTGACTGAGCTCCTATTTAAATCAAGACAGTAATATTTTCTTGTCATCTGCCATGCAGGTCTACAGCATCATACTCTGGGGTGGGGAAATGCACCCTCTCTCTCGCAGACAACTCTCAACATAGGTTTCCTGTCTCCCATTTGCCAGTCTTCTCTACTTAGATGCTGCACTGTGGCTCCTGGGTAGCTGACCTTTAAGCACGTAGCTTTCAAGCAAGGGAGAGGCAGGATGCCTTGCTGCAGACACATCCTCCAGCTCAGCCCAAACTGCAGTGCTTTGATGGTTGTAAACTATTTGCTGGGTTATTTCTTCTCCCCTTGAGAGGATCATCCTTTTGGGTGGAAATCCTTCCCTGGTCATAACTGGAGAGCTGCTAAGCAGCTCACAGATTGAGAGAAGAGGGCCAAAATTTTAGGGAAAACAGATAGGGAAAGCACAGAGGCATGTCAGTTTCCATTGCACAGAAATGTCTATTTCTACATTAAAAGCCCCACTTGAGGTTGCAGGAGGGGGAGCAGGTAAAACTGAATTTAGGAGGTGTGCTGCCTCCTTGAACGTCAGGTGCATCCCTGAGCTGCTGGCTGTTGTAGGGGATTAAGAGTATGTGCAAAAAGACCGCTAACGTATGTTAGCAGTTTAACACCTCGCAGAACAGAGTGTAGTGGGGAGAAGGCCACTTTGGCTTGTGATGTGGTTGGATGTAGCACGCCCCAGGGCTGACAACATCGTTCTGACACATCCCCACTGTACCCGGTGGCAGCTCTTCCATCTGCTCTTGCAGTAGGTGCTTTGCTGCTCTGCTATTTTCCAGCTAAATATAGAGGATTGTGTAGGTGGCCTTGTAGTGACATCTGTTGTTGGGGTTCGCCCAGTGGTCTGCAGAAGCTTACCCTTCAGTTAGATCTTCCTGTCCCTGACAGAATCAATGCAAAGAGCCCAGCTTAGTCACCAAGCACACAGGAAAAAGCTAACAATGAAACCTGCCAGTGCCTTGGCACTTGTGAGCCACCTCCCCACTTCAGCAGGCATAGTGGGTGCTGTGTGCCCTCATGATGCAGGGTGCCTGGCTCCCATTTCCATTGCAAAACACTGAGACTCAGTGATTCCTCTAGCTTCCTTGCTGGTGGGGCATCCAGGTCCCACACCTCCACCAGGGCTCCCCCATGCTTTCACGTTGCCCTTAAAGCATTCCCCAGCATTTTGCAATTTGACCCCCTCTGTGTGACCTGCTATCAGCATGACATGCAGGGGTCAACTGCTCATAGCCATGAAAAGAGGAAGGAGAAGGAGGCATCTGGGATGCTGTCAGAGCCTTACCCCAGGATTCAATCAAGCTGTAGATCTGCAGGAGATCTCTGTAAGATGTGAGTGAAGTCTTATAGTATTTTCAGAGAAGGCAGCCAGTGAAACTGGCCAGCATAATGAGGCTGAGAAAGGCTGCTGTCGTCAGTGCACAGCAGCCTTCCCTTAATGATCTTTCATTAAGCATCCTGTCTTTGCTATGTAAATGCATTTAAGAATACAGCGTGGCTAAATGTGATGTGCATCAGAGCTCCGTAATCAGGAGCGGGTACACGTCTTGTTATTCATTGCATACATCCAGGAAGCCATTACAGTGTCTGTTCTGCATATGGCTGATGAATAATTTACAAATAATTCATCAAAACCCCAACAGGTGTATTGACATGATATTGACTCAAGAGAGAGATTGTACTGCCTGGCTGGAAGTAGCACGCTTATTGATTTTTGGCTTTTCTCTCCCTCTTTGCTCCTATCTTCCCTTGGTTTCCAAATCTTCCATTTGAGGTTTTTTCCCCCATCACCCACGTTAAATGACTCATAATCTGCAGTTGATACCACAACATAAAGCAAGGTTAAAGAAAGAAGAAAAGTCTTAATATAAATGCCCCCATTCAGATCCATTGTAGAACAAATGCTAAATACTAATCTTAAAAATATACATGCTGAAGTAACCCTTTTATATTTATTCAAGATAGCACCAATTACACCTGCCCTAATTTAGATGGTATTTTTCACTAAGATCACACTGAAAGGCGTTTAAGCCCTCTATTTGTATTATTTCTTATATTTTAGTAATTTAAATGAAAACAAACAAACAAACAAAAAAACCCCAAAACTAACAAAAAAAAACCCCAGCAATTTGGTTTTGTATATGGATAGTACACAGGCAAACTAGTATGTGTAGGAGTATTGGGGCGTTGTGCCTGGATCCTCTCCTAGACTGCAGCAATTTAAAGTTCAAGGACACCTGAAGGTACTGTCAGCATCTCTGTAACTGGAGATGAGTCCACGTTAGGACCACAGCTCAGTTGTGTCAGGGACTTTGTCTGAAGCCTGCAGATGTTTGAATCACAGGATCAAGACCACTTATCCCAGTGAAACTCTAGCTCACCCTTTGGAGATACCCATCTATCTACCTGTGGCCTACAGAAGCAGAATCCTTGAGCTCTTGAGGTGGGCACCATGGTTGGTTTCAACACAGACTGGATGGGTGTAGACCAAAGGGAAAATCTAGATCCAGAGGCTTTTGTTTCTTGTGATACTAGAGCCCACCCCCCAGCAGGGCTGCTCATGAAGGTTTCCATGTAGCTGCAGACTGGGGTAGCTGGCCTGGGAGACCTTTTTGTGCATTTACAGCCTGGAATTTTGAATGCAATAAATGTACCCGTTGGATTAGAAACAGTTACTAGTTGATGTGATAAACTTTACAAGTATCACAAGTAGAATTTGATTACTGTCTTACTTTGTTTTCAGCTGAAATGAATAGTCAAGTTGAAAGTATAAATGATCCTACAGAAACAAAGCAGGAAGCTTAAGTAACAGGTAAGACCTTTATGGATATTTTCCCCCACCATTTTCCATGCAGTTTCTATTTTAAAACTTGCTTTAAAAATTACCTTAATTAAAGTTGGAGTTTACAGGGGGGAAAAAATAATAATAATAATAAAAAAGGAAAACAGAATACAAAGGGAAATTGTCTAATATGGCCCATATTACACCAAAAATGAAAATATCCAGTAGACTTGATTTGTCAAGTAAATATTATAGTAACAGTCTGCAACTGTAATGGATTTAGACAGTGCACGGTCCTAGATCATCAGAAGGCAAGACAGCACGGAGATCAGGAACAGAAGAGTAACCAAGTGAACAATTTTTGGCAATGCTTAGCAAAATGACAGGCAATTTATACTGGCTGGAACCAAGCTCAGTTCTGTATGATCTGTATTCTGGAAACAAAAGGTTCACATCACGAGGAGTTTATTGCCCTTGGCTCTCTGATGCCTAACGTCACTTGTAGCAATACCACTGAAAAACAAGACAAAGTCAGCGAGCTGCCTCCTGAAGCTCTGCTGCCTTTTGGAGCTTTTTATGGCTTTACAAGCTAAATGATAGTGCTATGGCAAGAATGCACAATGGTTGTTGTTACTGCAGCGTTTGTCACAGGTGTAAGCAGCCTTGCCCTAGATAAAAATGAGTATTTTGGTAGGGAGACAAAAGTCCGAGGTTTGTCCCTGGTGACAAAAAGCAGTTGCCATTTCTCCCTCACGAGTAGTTTTTAAGTGTTAATGCGAACTGCTTCCTCAGTGTAGGGTTATCGTGAGATGACAATATCAAACACAGCAAGATGTGTTGTTTGTGTTTGTAATGGGATTTCGTGTACTTCAAGACCAAATACAATACTTTACAATGGCAGCAGCTGCATCACAGAGATTTAAAATACAAGGTCTCGTTACTGCGCGTAGTCCTTTGTCCTTGTCAGCATATCAATGGTGTGCTGCCGTGCTGAAGGAGTGAGAAGTGGGCCTGAAGGGGTCCCTGGTAAAAAGTCCTGAACCAAGACTTAAACTCACCCTCACCATTAAAATACAGCTTCCACAGCCCTTCCTTCTCCCTCGCCTACCTTCAGGTTGTATGTTCTGTTCAATGAAAAAAAGGAAGAGGAACTAATGAAATCATCACTGTTAAAAATACATGGCAAGGTTCATGCCCTTCCAACAGTTTAAAAAAATATATCTGACAGTTATGATGATCCCGTGGTCTGTAGGCAGCAGTCTGTTTCATGCTGCATTTTCCCATGTGAAAAAATATCTGAATGTTTTGGGCTGGAGTAGTTTTTGCTTTATGAAGGAATAATGCCACAATTAGCAACCAATTAATAGTTCCCTTCAATTCCCCTGCAGTGCCTGGCTCCGCCAGTGCCTTTCTGAAGCAAAGGGACCTGCACTAGGGCTCACCACATCTTGCCCAGCATTTTAATGGCATGCACGTGATTAGGAACAGGCATTAAATCCTCCACAACTGTCTATCAAAGTCATCCTGACACTGTTGCCACTGTTTTAATTGCAAGGAACCAGTATCCAGGGAGGACTGATCAGCCTGCTAAACTTCAGAGTCTTTTGCTAGGATCTTTCAGAGCTGAGGAGATCCCTTTCCTCACTATGTTTAGTATTTTAAAGTGGTGTTTTTAACATATGTCCTGTGGCCTAATACCAAAGCACCCACCAAAGCTGGGGGCCTCTGATCTTGAGCTTGGCAGCATGGGGCTATGGAAAACCAAGAAACCCTAATGAGCGCAGCAAATTTGCTGTAGCGATAATAGTGACTGTTTAACCACATGACATGTACACATGCTGCACATGTGACAGAAAGATTGAAAGATAACTGGGATTCTGTGCAGACATTTGATATTTTTCTTATTTTTTTTGTTTTTCTCTCTCCCCCTACTATGGACGAAGGCAGGATGCAGAAGAGGAGAGACCTGAGGAAACCCAGCGGGTAGGCGCTGACATCCTACAGCATCATTCTTGGCAGAAAAGAGCACACAGAGATGCTCCGTGGGTCGGGAGGGAGGGAGCTTTGGGGAAATTACTCTTTGCTTTAATTTCTCTTTGTTCTTCATTGCATTTTGTTCTGTAAGCCTGTTGGAAACAAACATAACTTCCCAGTTATAACAATGTTTTGCATTTTCCCCTGCAATTACAACAGTTTCTTCTGAACCGTGAGTCCCTGTCTTATATTGGGTCTCTTTGGCTCCTGCATCATATCATCAGTAGCCTGTTTCCAGGCCCACTCCTTTTCTAGCATTTTTATCTTCTTTCCTAATTATGGTACTGTCTGCAGGCAACCTGTGGAACCCAGATTATTCTCTTCCTCTCCCCCTCTTTTTTTTAAAAACTGTTCCCTAGGATATGAATAGAGATTTGCTTTGAGAACATAAACTGCCACAAAGGATTACGATCTGCACACACTGATAAACAGCCATCCTCCTTGTGCTAGAGATTTGAAAGACTAGATGCTCCAAAATCTCAAAAATGTAGAGACAGCGCTGCACGTTGCCCACCTCCAGGCTTGTCAATCAGCAGCACTTGCTGGCACCCACCAGCAGGTCCCCATGTCCAAACCTTGGCTGCTAGAAGAGGCCCTGGCTGGATTCCCTCGAGAGCTTGTGCATTAACTCTTTCATCCTGATGCTTCAGGATTGCCCATGGCTCTGCCATCCACCTTTCTCTCTGGTGTGGGAAAGCTAAACCGTGACCAACCTACACTGTGTCGTGCCCCTCTGTGGGCCAATAACATGCGTGGCTTCAAACAGCCAGTGCTCAAAATCAGACCTGCTAGTTTCTGGTTGGCTCCGTGCACCTCAAAATCAGGGCTGTAAGGTATGGCCTTCAGTAGCAGGTAACAACAGGTACTTCCTCAAGCCTGCAAGGTACAGAGGGTAACAGGCACTCTGCATTCAAAGCATCTTTAAATACGGCTCCCGGCTTTAACAACTTCACGCAGTATCATGTGTGAGCGCTCATCATATTTTCTACTGCATATGCATGATTTCTTTTTTTAATTTTTTTTTTTTTTTAAGCAATTAACAGTTATTTGGATAGGAACATCTCACCATATGTCAATTGTTCTGCCAGCAAATGCTGCGCTGAAATTTTTTTTAAAGGAACAAAAGGGTTTTGCATACATTTTGCAGCCATCCTGTAGCCAAAACCGATAGACAATACACTTGATGGAAGAGCGCGCAACCTGTGTCCAGGGTGTGATGTGCCACAAATGGTATTTTTAAATCCTGCTGATAATAATTTTATCATTTTAGGCAAAGTAATTGATTCTGTTCTTTCTCCCCTCCTCCTCCCCTCCCCCAAGATAAGCATGAATCCCAAAATAGTTATTTACGAGATGGTCAAAAAAATAGAAAAGGAAAAAAAAGTAAGAAACAAAGTAAGATGGAGCTCTGCCTTCTTCTGGTCTGGGTTTACCCCAGCAAGAGTAGGTTTGGTGATAAATCATCTGCTGGTATAACAGTGAGTCAAATGTGGCTCTAACACACCTAGCACTGGCTGTGGCTGTTGATGGCTGCTTGTTAATTCAAAAGGATGTCAGAACAAACAAGGATTTCCAAGAAAGGAAAACTAGAAAAGCCCATATTTCACCCAAGGAGTACAGCCCCTAGAAAGGCAACCCGCTGTCTCCCTACGTGTGGCTCTGGCACATATACTTGTGTTGGAATCAGAAGAGTATTTTCTATCTGCCAACTCCTGTGGTGTTTTAACCCAGGTGGCCACTAGTGCCAGAGAAGATCCTGAAGAGCTTCTTCATCACCTGTTTCTCTCAGAGGTTGGTGAATTCATAAATCTGAATTGGATCATCTGTGGAAGGAGTAAATGAGCTGATGTAACCCTAGAAATAGGGTTTATGATATTGCTGAGTTTACCTGCATTTGCTAGATATAACTCCTCTGGCCTTGGTTCTCCTCAGAGCATCCTTGAAGGAATTCCTTGTTGCCTTTTAGGTGTCTCTGCCACTTTTCTTTCCTATACCTGGTGTCACGCTTGACAGAACATGTCTTTTGCAACAGGAATTATTTTTTTCTTGCTGTTCCTTCTCCTTATTTCAAGCCAATTGCAGGTTTGCAGTGGGAAGCCTTGCAAGTAGTACTTCTGTGTGGTCCACATCCCACGTTTCTGTACGGTTTCCTTGCTGAGTGATTTTGGTTGGAACAGTCTAGGGGAAAAGCGGATAAATACCTTGGGAGGAAGGGGAATAAACATTTTAGGTGTCTTGCCTCTCAATTCCCTTTTTGTGCAATTGCTTTGAAAAGACCAGGATTGAAGAGCTCCCTCCATCTAGGTAAGTGAGGGAACCCACCCTACAGGGCTGACAAACTTGGTGAGCTCGAGTCTGAGCTGTGCAAAATGTCGAGGAGATCTGAGGTGGCCATGTCCACTGCCGGAGCTCCCCAGATCTGTGATAACTTCAGTCAGTGGAGTATCCAATCCCCTCAACGTAGCTCTGCTCTTGTTTTCATCATGCTTGCCAATGGCAATGGCAGGCTGCTGTTTGCCACGTACTGGATGTCCATCTTGCCATTCCCAGCCGTGGTTTTAGCGAGGGAGCCAAAGGGAGAGCCCCTCAGAAGACTGGCTGCCAAGGTGTGATCGATCAATAAGGAGACAAAGACTCCTTAAGCTCCTTGTGAAGACTGACTGATGTTTTTCAATAAAAACTTAACTGCAAAGATGCATCACACTCTTTAACCCCTGACAGTCAGTTCATTGCACTTTTCATTTAACCTTGGTTCTCAAACAGCAGCGAATCTTTGAAACTGTGAAATGTTTACCCAAGGATGCAGCAGCAAAGTGTGAAGCCCAGGTAGGAGGTGTAAAGCAAGTAAACATCGGAGTTGATTAAGTCCTTACAGGACAATTTGCAGCCTCATCTATCAATCTTCAGGTGGGTTTTGGTTTGAGTTGGTGGGGTTTTTCACTAGTCATAATGTGAGTATAGTTTGGAAGCCGGAGTTCTTCAGCTGTGT